TATGCTGCACAACAGTTTAAATTGGAAGTGTATATAATGTTATTCCAAAACTTGCCCTCATTTTAGGTCATCATGCTGTTTTTCTTTCACCAGCTTCTTGGGCATTTCTGGAAATTGTTACTATATCCTTATTATGTTTCAAGTTCTATGCAAGATGTTTTTGCTTTGTTTAAAGCTTTATCGAGTTATAACTGATATACAAAAAGCTACACATATTTAATGTATACAATTTGGTGAGTTTGGACATTAAAAAAAAAGTCACCATACACAATAGATTATGCTTTAAGAGACATAAACAATGAGAAGAAACTTTTACAGAACAAGAAGAAATGAAGAAAGATGGAAAGGACTGAAAAGTAGGCAACAAATCCAGAAAAAATACAGACTTAGGTTTTGAAAATCCAATTCCTACCAAAAGAAACCAGGATTTTTTTTTGAGAAATAATTAAATCCAGGTCTGTGGCAGGAAATGTACAAGATGAGCCTATCCTGTCATACCACTTATCAAGACATTATCAAAGACTACCAGGGTTGTGTTAAAAAGACTCAAAATAGGTTCTACCAAAGTTGGGCAAATACCCAGAAGAGATCATAACACCTTAAAAAATGTTTAAATCTGAAAGTTCATAATGATATATATCTAAGAAAACTATTGGTCACCTGTGGAGGATTGTCAATTTTTTATTTTGAAAACTGGTAAACAAAGGGTAAATACAAGTACTGAGATAAAATTTCACTGCTGAGTAACCAAAGAGAAAGTTTCTCTTTATGCAAGCATTTTGATAGATTATTGAAAAGGAATTGAAATAACCCAATTCTTGCAGTATCTAGAAAGTAAGGAAATAGACATTGCCTGCCAGCATCACATGAAAGATTCAACTCCACTTTACGTACCTTTGCCTGAGGAAGTAGCACCACCTATGAACCAGTCTTGCCAAAAATAACAAATCTGAATCTAATCAAGAATCAAGATAACTACCAATTTATAAAGAATACAGAAGAACTTGATAAATGACACCACAGAAAGCTCAGTCTGTTGAGAACATCTACAGGACAACTGACATGGTGGTTTCTTCAAACAACGAAGGGGAGTAAGGAGTAAAGAGCTGAAGGAAAACTATAAATTAAGAGAAACTTAAAAAGACATATATTAAAGAGGCAAAACTACAGTTCCATTACTTGGATGATAAAATTATAAAGAGAAGTAAGGAAGTAATTACCACAAAAATTAAGAAGAATGACTACTGTTGGGAGAGGGGGGTCAAGGGAGAATTGTGTTTGGAAGCAGATAGGTGTGGAGCATCTTGAGGTAGTAATTCTAGTTTCCTGATATGAATGGTGGTTACAAGGGGGTGGTCTTACAAGAATTCATTAAGCTCTCTCTGTATAATACGATATTCTGAATTTGTGTTATGTTTTAAAATAACAAAGATTTAAAAACAGATTTATAAATTAGAAATCCTTTTAAATTTACTAATCCTTAAGTTCTTAGATAAATGCACTAGTCTTTATGAAAGGACAAGTCAAAAGCTTCTACAATCTCAAGATACGGAGAGAAATAATTTAACAAAGTTAATGTATATATGTTGAGGGAAAACTAGAGAGCACATGAAGAAGCGCAAAAGCTGTAGTGTTTCCTCTAATGGTAGCAGCATTTGCCTCATCTATAAGCTACGGAGGAATAAAAATGAGGTTAAATGAAATCAGGTGATCTTTTAAGACCACAGAATGTTTAAGGTCTTTATGCAATTCATACTTAACACAGGCAAAAACTACAGAGAGGAGAAAATTTTGATCTAGGATTTTCTCAGCAAAGGAAACTGATAGATGTAGTTAAGATTTAACTAAAGAGGGAAAAAGAATCTTAGAAATCATAAACACCTTAGCCAGTCTAAATGTAAATAAAATCTATTCAATTATCATTCCAAAAATAGCATGAAATGGTCTAACAGAAATTGTGTATTTGGAGGGAGCCCCAAGAACAGCCTCCATCCTCTCTCCCATTTTTCCAATTTTACATAGCAAAGTCATGGGAGGGAGAGCAACTCATCATTTTAACTGTATCTAACAGTTTATGGCAGAGGCCGCCTCTGATCACAACTGTAATAGAAGAAAAAGTAAAGAGGGGCTAGAACAGAGGGGGAAAAAAAGAGAGAAGGATATAATGCATGAATCTTGTTTATGATACAGATTCAATAACTACTCGTTAGTTGATAGATGAGGGAACACAAGAAATTTTCAATTTTGGATCCGGGGTAATGATAAAATCCCTGGATTCTCTCTATTTTCAGATAGTCTGATATCAAATAGCATTTTCAGTTCCTATCAATAAGGCCTCTTATTAACACTGCTTATCTCACCTTAAATATCTCAAAATACCATGAATTAAAGCAGTATTAGACAACTACCATCAACAACTCCTCCTTAGTTGCTTCTTTCCTTCTAAATAAAAATGTTTCCATCTTTAAATATATCCTGATCTCTGCATTCACTTTTCTAATTAGTCTTCATATTCTTCCCCTGACTTGGCGAGTTCTCTATCCTTTTTATCTCTTCTTCACTGAGTTCCCAACAACTGGGAATAAATAAAATTCAACTATCAAAGCAGTTTAATCAGTCACTTCTATGAAGTCTTAAAAACATACAATGGATTCTTTTCCTCTAAGAGAAAAATGGGCTCAAGAAACACAAAAACTCTGCAAGAAGAAAATGCAAAAATGGATGTGTCTGGCTTTTCTTCAGTTAGTGGCATCCTCGTGTTCTTTCAACAAATGTTTATGGTGTGTTTCTTTGCGCGAGGCAAGTTTTACTTCCCTTCCCATCTTCAAACATCAGCTACTACTAAATGCTTAAGTTAAAATCAAAGGCACCATTTTTCCAATAGTTAAGGAATCCATCTTCTTTCTCTTCCCATGATCCTGTGAGCCCTTAAAATAAATACATCAGCTTTCTAGAAAATGTTCCAGGCTTATCCCCAGGATGAGGAACAACAGATTTATCTAACAATTTGCTATCTAGTCCATGTTTCTCTATTGGATAGGTTTAATGTGCAGAAGTACCTATGAACACCTGGCATCTGAACCCTGTTTTGCATCCCTACAAGAGCAGAGAATCCTACAGTCCAATGCAGACCAGATCCCTCTCTCTCTAGCTATGAGGGGAAATTAGAAAATCCATTTTGACCTTGGACCCAAGAGATAATTCTCCAATTCAGCTTGACCAGTAATTAAACTAATATTTTAAATCCTATCATATACTATCCATTTTTCAATTGGTTCAGAGCTTACAGTGTAAAATCATCATCACCAAGCCACAATACCAACCAGAAAATATGAGAGTCTGGATTAAGAAAAGTAAGAGATTAAACAAACAAAATAGAACAAAAATCAAACACACACATGCACAAACTTCTCTCCCTTTACCATGTCAACTGGACAGCTAGAGGTACCAGGAATTATAGGCTGGGGTTTTCCTGTCATCTTATCATGGAAGGTAGGCAGTTAGGTGGCTCAGAGTCACAAAACATGTAACCTCCCCAGGTTCATGCCCAGCTGCAACCCTCCCTCTAAAAAAAAAAAATTAGCCAGCAGTTATAACTTTCTCAATCTAATAAATAGCAACATAAATCTTTAAGTAAAAAGTATAGCTATTTAAGCCAACCTACTGCCAAAAAAGGATTATGAAGCAGCTTACAGAGGCATACAAAAAATAAAACTAGTATAAATTTAAAATTCTCGACTTTTTAAAAATTATCTCTTGCCCTGTTGTAGATACTATAATCCTTTTATGATCATCTGTTTTCACCTACTTTTTACTCCTAGAAGTACTCAAAAATACCTGGAAGTCTCAAAAAAGAGGCCTAAGGCCCTCAAATAATTTAAGAACCCTTTTCTATAATAATCCTTAATAAGTCATCTTCTCCATCAAAAGAGCATAATCTATCCAATCTATTATTTCTGACAGTGGCACCAAGACATCCCTATTGGAAGCCTACAATCAACTTCTGATACCCAAAACACAAACACTCACACATTCTATTTTTCTATTTGACTATTCTCTTTTCTTTGGATTCTATTATCTGAAACTATTTCCTTAAATTATACCTAACTAACCAAATCATTGCTAAAACATGTGTATTAATAAACTTGCTAAAAAATCTATTTCAGTACTTTTGTAACCATATTAACCAAATCTTTTTTTTTCAACAACTCAAATCTCAAGCATCTTCTTTCCATATAATGTCCTTTAGTGCTTTAGCCTTCTTATATATCTTTGTTATTTATTGAGTTCTGAAGCTATCAGGAAATCTACATGTCCTGGATCAGGGAAATATTTTTCCTTACTGTCCCATTTCCTCGGAGGCTTCTATTCATCCTTATTACTGTCGGTCTATTCAACCCCACTGTTTCTCCCAATTCTACTTCTTTCTAGCTGTCCATACATCCAATCTCTTGGAACCAGTATGACAGCTTTGATGTCAACCTTCATGTATTTATTCAGCTATGATTTCTTCCAAAAGCTGCCACTCCATAAAGTTAATCACAACTCTGATTTAACATCAATCAATTTCTAGTATGAAAACATTCCCATTCCATCCTACAGATAAGTAATCCAAAACCAAAGTCAGAAGAAGAAACATTACATACAGAATGTCTGACATTAGGTTCATTTTAAAGCATTTATTAGTTTACCTAACAAAGTTAAAACAATGACCTTCAGTTTTAGGTTAGTAAGAAAAATGATAAATTCTTAACATTAAATGCTATATATCACTTATTCCTTTCAGAATTGCAACCCAATACATACCTCTGTGGAAAATGAGTTTCTTCTGGATTTATCCAAGTAACAGAGAATGAGTCCACATTTTATTATTAAAAAAAAAAAAGACTAAAACGTGCTCTATGTATAGACATCACCGACTCAGTATGCCAAAAGGTAAAGGATTTAACTAATTTGAGCTATTTGCTGAAACTTAAAACTTAGTAAGAGGTTGTAGTTACCTCTTTTTGTAGATGAAGTTTGAAGCAACTGTTTGGCTTTGAGAGAAGTACGAGGCAAATTTTTCAGCCTTTGCGAAGCTGTTGAAAAATAAGGAACTGTAATATTTGCCTGCAAGGACAAGATAAAGGCTATAGCTTCTGTACACTTGAATATTTAAATACAAACTTGGAAACTTATTAAGGAACAGATAAGGTGAAAATATGTTAGAATCCTAGAAGCAGAGAAATCTTAAAGTGATGCTTAGTGCATTAAGTTGGAAAAGAAAGGGAATGGAAATCTTAGTGCAAAGTGCATACTTTCAGAAATCGCTTCTTAAAGATGAGAAAATCTACAATATGTAAACCAATTAAAATATCAAAGAAAAACAAACCACCAGCAAACATGCTACAGGATGCAAAGAATACAAAGCTAGTAAGTAAAAGTGATGAACACAAGCACACAGTACAGAAAAAAATAAATGTAGTACTTGTTCAGTGCAAAAAAAGCAGGCTTTGGCAAAGCAGTTATTGTTAGATGAATTGCCCTAACGTGAAATAGCAATCCCCATACTCAAAAAGGAGAAGAAAACTCAGAACTAGGCAGGTCTGCAAGGGAGTCACAATCTAGTGACTTTAATATGTTCAACATTATCTTGCTGTAGAATTCAACTAATTGCACTTCAGACTTTGGGTAGCAATATGTTTGGGCTGTGCACATATGCCTATGGAGTGGGTAGGGTGTATTGGTGGGGTTGAGCGGTTTGGATGAGTCAGAGTATTTTTTACAGTGATCAATGAGGACTTCTAAGCTTTCTTCAAAACTCTTCACCATTAACTGCAATGAAACTCTCAAAACTGGCAATTAAGGAGCAGTTCAGAGCCATTGAGAGTTAAAACTCATTATGACTCCAATGAACTGATGAGTCCCACACCTACTAGTGCAGTCACCTACTTAAGTGGTTCTAAAATGTCATTCTACCGATTTGAAAGTCGGACTCCATATACCTCTAGAATTTACATGTTCCCCATCTCCCAAAAGAGATCTCACAACCATAAATCTAGCCAGAGTTTAAGTAGAATTTCTCTTTCCCTCTGATGCTTAACCCTATCAATGATGATAGAATTTTGTCACTGTCTGATAGTAAACATTTTTTAAAAGTAACAAATGTATCTAATTTCTAATTCTACAGCACTCAACACATTACTGCAGCTAAATAACAAGCCAATTTAAGTTAAATATATTGCCAGACTAGCAAAAAAATTCTCCAAACTTTAAAAAAAATCAATTTTATAATGCATTACACCTCATATCTATCCCACAGAAATACAGGATGTTATCGTCGAGTATTCTTCATTTACACATTTATTCAGACATGCTTTCTGCCATTCACATTTCCATTTATTCACTCATTCATTCATTCCTGCTTTTTTTCATTATTTCAAAGTTAATTATCCACCTTATTCCAGGTACTGTTTTAGGAACAATGGATTCAGTAGCCAACTATATTAACAAAATTCCTACTTTCATGGAATTAAGAGTCTAGGGAAGGGAAAACAGACAATAAATAGAGAGTAAAATGTATGGCCTGCCAGATGGTGATAGCTGCTAAGGAGAAAATTAAGTAGGAAAGGAGGGCAAGAAGTGGATTTAATTTGCAATTATAAATATTGTGATAAGGAAATATTTCCCAGAGATGACATTTGCTCAAAGATCTAAAAGAAGAGAGGAAGGAGACATACAGTTATCTGGGGGACACATTTTAGACAGAAAGAAAAGCAGTGGTAAGGACCTGAGGGAGGAGTGTGCCTGGTATATCTGAAGAACAGAAAGTAGGTCACCTTGATTGGAGTGGAGTAAATGAGGGCAAATGTTAACCAACGGTACAAACATAGTCAATCCACAGTATCTATTAACCATTAAAAAATTTTTTAAACAAGGGTTTAATATAAAATATCTATAATCAATTGTTCTGGAAAGATCTTAAATTAATAGCTACAATGACTCCAGTGGACCTTATTTATCCCTCAAGTTTCATAGGTGATGTCACAAAAATGGCATCTATAGACAGAATTGTCCAACATTAATTCAAAGAATCAGACTGCAAATACGGTCAGGCAGTATACTCAAAATTTGCTTGATACAGAATGAATCATTTTCATAAGATACCAACAAAGTCAAATAATGTTACCCAAATAAGAACAAAAACTAAATTTTTATCTGAATTATCAATCTTAAATTGATTGCTTTTCTAACAATAAAATCATTTTTAAATGATAAAGTGCAGTTGTTAAACTGAAAGTCTCCAAATCCTTCTAGAACTTTGACCCATTCTCCACATTGCTACAAGACTGAATTTCTTAATAGCTCTGATTAGAAGCCTATGATGGCTCTTCGTGCTTACAGGATGAAATCTAAACTCCTTAATATGATATTAAAAAACTCCCATCGGAATCTATACTGTCTACATCTCTCATCCTTGGTCACTGGACCCACTAACCAGTAACTGTGACTTACACTTTAGTCAAACAAAAAAACCCCACTATAATCAGGGTGCCATTCTTAAGATTTTATTACTGATCCTACTGTTGGGAAAACCTATACTTCCTTTCCCCGTGTGACAATTCCTCCTGTGCTGACAGAGAAATCTTCCAATAATTTCCTGAAAACCTCCTCATACTGCCAAGGTTGATGTCTCTCCTGTTTCCACATCAATTCCTGTCTATCAGTTCCTGCTACTGAAGGACATTTACTGTCTCACTCACATTTATATTCCCAGTGCTTGGAACATAACATACACTCAATAAATATCTGTTGAATAATTAAGAAACATGTAAGTGACTGACTACTGGATAAAGTCCAGAGATTTAAACTAAATATTCAAGATCCTCCACAGGTGAGGTCTAATTCAGTGGTTCTCAAACTTAAACATGCCCCAGAGTCAGCTGACACACTTCTAAAAGTAGACATGCTGGGTCCACATCCCACATACATTCAATCAAAATTTCCAGAAAGTCAGAAAAACTACATTTATAAAATCTCTTTGTGATAATTGACTCAACATCACTGTACTACTTATCCTTAAACAGAAGTTCTACAAGTATTTCATTCCTTCTTATATTAGCCTATATTACACAGATTTAGCATGACTTATTTCAATTCACGTTTCAGAATTATGTGAAATTCGAGTGTAACTTTCTGGTGTTTTGGTTCCTAGTGAAATCTGGATGAGAATTCCTTCCCCATGGGCCCAAGTGCAGTCTAGCTACACATAAACTGACAACCATCCTGGATACTCCCTCTTCAGTGAGAGGTCCAGAGTAGAACACTGATTCTATACATCTCTTCTCTGAGTATACTCTGTACACTGTGCAAAAATATACTTCCATTTAGTTAAATGTTAGCAAATGGATAAATGTTACACTGACCTATTTTACTCTTTTGTGGTAATTCACAAAGTATTTATAGTTCAGTCTCAAATCATGCTCCAACAGAGTCATCCAAGAATATTTTCCAAGATGTTGACTCATTTGCAGTTAGGTCAGCATGATGTAATACAAACAGAGATTGGAAGGAAATCAGGAGACTCAGGGAGGAGTTGAGATGAGGGAGTAATTTGGCTTGGTTTTTGCCACTTTTCTGGTTACATGACATTGTACCTATAATCTATATGGGTCTCTGCTCTTTCTTTAAAAATTAAAAATGGGATGTTATGAGGTTCAAATGAGATAATACTTGTGAAAGTAAACATTTAAAAATACTAATGAAAGTTTGAGGATTATTACTGTTTTTAAATCAGCATACTATCTTGGGTTTTTCTCCCTTCTCTTTCCTTTTTTCGGAACCACTGATTCCTACATTTTCCTGAAAATTAAACTTTCTACTAAACCTGTGCTCTAGTTGTCTTAGAAAGCAAGGTACTAGTCTTTTGAAAATCTCTGTCCCTGGCAAACATTCCTTCTTTTAACTGGAGAAACTGAGAAAATGATATGTATCCATAACCTCTGCAATGCTCTGGTTTTCTTAAACTTTTTAAGTTATTCACATTTTCCAAGTATAAAAGTCAAAAACTGGTAATAACTATCAAAATGAAAATACATTAGAACTCATATAATATTCATATTTGAATGTCAGCATCCACAATAATGCAGCCGTAGCAAGTAAGCATATAAAAATAGTGACTGGCATAGTAACAAGGCAAAAGAAGTGGTCGCTTAGGTGGAAATAACAGCAACCTTGCAAAGTTAGGTTCATGCAGACCAGCAAGTAAGAACCAAAGCTTTACCACTTAAGAGCTGGAAAAATACTTAAAAGAAAACAAAAGGCAGCAAATACATAAATTGGTTTATGTAAAATACTAAAAATGCAAATTCACGTGTAAATGTATAAAACTTGCCATAGTAATATCTGTACATAATTATATATCAAAATATAAAGACTACTATGAAAACAGTACATATACAGTAATTAACAGAACACATATATATTATGTATCAGAGATATATGTAAAATTTTAAGAACAGCTAACATTTTATTTTGCTTCATAATGTATTAACTTTAAAGTTTTAAGATATTTTTATAAGATAAAGTTTATTAAATTATAAACCTGCTAATATTCTGGATTTACTACTTTCCAAACGTATTTTTGTGAATAGTGTGATTCTATACTAAAATAAATGTTTGTGACATTTTCTTCATAAGTAAGCTTCACTAAAGCTACAAATATAAAAATAAACATGTATATGCAATTTTTAAAAAAGGATGGTAATTGATTTTTTCTTCTGCCTATACACTATTCAAATATTGAAATATACCACTACATATATTTTCCACTTAAAAGTAAATTAGTGATTAGAATCTCATTATGTTTCTTTATATTTTTACCTTAATTATCAACTTCTGGGGAAAAGGGAAAAATAATTCACCTACAGAAAAAAAAAATTCTAGGGGATCAGCAGGTGATTACAGATTGGTAATTCTACCACTAGAGGTGAGAAATTATCATAAAGTTTAAGATGTGGTCAATATATTTTTCTAACATTTTTATCCTAGGTTCTCAAACCTTTTCTTTTTTTCTTCTATTTTTGTTAGAATTATTTTTCATTCCTATACAGCTTTAAGATGCTACAGTAGTTTAAATAAAGAGCATGTATGAAGACATGAAGGAAAAACCCTAAGTAAATTGGTATTGACAATAATGGAATGAGATAAAAAGGATATAGATTTGGCTGGTTTCATCAAAGAGCTGGGATGCTATTTAGAGATATATCATGTAAAGCTTTGAGAAAGTCCCCCAGAATTTAACAATTCAAACTAAGAATTAAAGCACCTCTGAAAGTCAAGTATAAATGGTGTTCTGGATTATTTGTGCATATTTTACAAGATCTCTTTCCTTTTGTAGTGACATTTAGACTGCTCTTCTCAAAGTGAAGAAAATCCCCAGAAACAGGATATTCTCAAATCAAATTAACTTAATTTGCAAGTTTAAAGGCACAAAACCTATCACTCACCACTACAGAGATAACGCAAGAGTTCACACTGTATTTTTACTTTACTTTTAAAGTTTTGTGAATCCCTATTCTCTATACCATTTATGAGCACCATATGAGTATCATAATGATGTTCTTAAACACACAGTTCACAAGACCTGGAATACTAAATTTAAAATTTAATTTGGTGCAAAAACATGTTTTTGCATATATCCATCTAAAGAAATGAGGTACACGAATCTCTGGGTAATAATTTTTCACAGTGCCTAAAATTTTAGTTTATCTTAGAAAAAACAAATATTTCCCGATAATTTTTATGCCTTAGAACTAAATCTCTGATGTGACAAATCTCTCTAGGTGGATTTCCACTTTCAAGCAGGATCAACAAGTGCTTGAATCCTAACTTGCTACTTATAAGCTGTACAGTATTATCACAGATAAGTTATATAAACTGTGAAAGCTTCACTTCATAATTTGTAAAATGTGCTAGTAACTGAACTTACTTCACAGAATTGTTCAGAGGAAAAAATAGGATTATGAATGTATAGTACAGTACAATACAAGTTCTGTAATATAAATAATACATGCAATTGGTAAATAAGGAAAATTTATCAATATTATCAAAAAAAGCATTTTGGTTCAAATATGTTTTTTCCTGGATTGTTCATTTTTGAGCCACCAAGTAACAGCAGCTTAACACAAAGGATACAAGTCAGCTAAAGACAACAGAGCCAAGGAAGAGTGCAAAGGAATTTTTTTTTAATTGAATGCTTTCAAAGTTGTGTTACTCAATAAGTAAGTTATAAATGAATAGACAGTCAGTAACCTCATGTTTGTATCATTTCTTCTTCACAGCTTTCAGGAAATAAAGGAACACATCACAGTGACCACTTCAACCACTGACAGTAAACATGCTATGAAGGAACTGAATTAATCAGACTACAAAGCTGATGTGAACTGTGGGACAGAAGGCATGCATATTAAGCATTTGTAAAATTGTATAAATAACCCTGATAATTTGTTTAAAATTGGTTTGACTGCATGCTCCTATCTATTCTAGTTAATAAGCAATACTTTTTGGGGAGCATTCAATTCTTTTTTAATCACTTTGTACAGTAAGGTCCGAGTGCCCATCTATTCCCACATCACTTTTCGGCTCAGTCTGGCCACTTTGTCTTAGAAGCTCCTTCTGCATGATTCTCTTTGATCACTGTTTTATGTTGCATATGTCTCCTTAATTCAACCCTTCCTTTCCATCAAGTTACCTTCAACTTTTTAATGAAATTCTACATTTGCTTAAGTATGTATTTTAACATGTTTTAACTGTGCTGGAATTTTTATAAGATCATTATCATTTTTATTAATGTTCTAGTAAGAAAGCTGCTTGGGTCTTAAGTGCACTGTTTCAGGACTTTCCCCCTCAAAATCCTATCATTTTTAATGTGCAGTACTGCAGAATATGAGGTTTTCAAGGTATATATATTTAATATAAAAAGCTAGAATTTGCTTATTTTAAAATTCTAGACAGAACACAGTTTTATACAGATAGAAGTATTGATACAATTGTGTATTTCATAGGGACAAATTTTCAATTTTATTATAGCTATGATTACCTTATAGCAATTAATAATCACTACATGCTTACTATAATAATACAGCTATTTGGCACAAAATTAAAATCCATAATTTTCATTTTTCTTTAAATAACTGATACATGAAAGATACTTACTGGCTGAAGCCTGAGGTTGCATGCGAGGTATTCCTCCATTTGGCACTTGAAAATTTGAGTCACTTCTGCTGCTTTTCACTGAGTCAACTTGTGTATTAGATGTCCGGGACAGGTTTGGAAGACTGCGCCTTAGTTTTTCTGACAAGAGAATTTCAATTTTCAAAAATATCAAAACATTCTTTCAAATGGAGAAAGAATTAAATATTAACATTCAAAAATTAAATTTTTAAAAGAATATTTATTTTATTTTTTGTACAATTTATCTTATTTACCTCTGGGGGCGGGGGTTAGGTTTATTTATTTATTTATTATTTAATGGAGGTACTGGGAATTGAACCCAGGACCTCATGCATGGTAAGCACACACCACTGAGCTATACCCTCTCCCTCAAATTCTTTATTTAAGCATTCTACATATTTCAGAAGAGTTAACAGAAAGTACACATCTTATAAAAATAAACCACTCAATACAGATTCTATAAATGGGTAGAAATATTAAGAAGAACCATAAATTACTTAAATCAAGATCTGTACACAGATCACTTCATGAGTATAACAAAGCAAAGCAATCAAGTAAAATTAAATTCACTTCCTCCCTTTATTTTTGTTCTGACTCAGTATTAATAAAACAGTAACTGACTAAATTCTTGATCTACTTATCCGAAATACAAAGCCTTGGTAAAAAACTATGTTACTTTCAAACTGAAATATGAAGGGCAAATTTTTTCCAGACATTATAGTTACCTTCATTTTTAACATTGGTTGTTTGTAAATCTGTGGGATGGCCTTGAAGTGAAAGGCGAGGTTGCTGTAAGCGGCTAATCATAGGCTGTGGGGACACTCTACTATATTCTATTCCCCGAGCAGGAGATCGAGAACGAGGTGAATTTCGGGGTGACTGCTTAGGAGATGGTCGAGGAGAATTGCGTGGTGATGGTGAAAACCTGTTAACAGCGGGGTATACTGCATGATGCATATTGTCATCTTCATCATCTAAACTTTGTGCATCAAGTTCCTGATCACTAAAAGTACCCCGTCTTGTAGAATTGCAAGATGAACCAGAACTGCGACGAGATGTGGTGGCTGCATATTCTTGCCGGAGACCTGACAATAACGAATGTGTTATTTTATTTCTTTAGTTATATTTGTAAACATTCAAACAAGGTGTAAAGGCAAAAGATTACCACTGAGAAATTCAAATAGGGTATAAAGTGTAAAGGAAAGCTCTCTTTTCACTTAATCACCTTAGATCTCCCCACATATAAGGATACAAATACCACATCTAAAAGGCTATTTTTAACTTGAAAGAAATTCTATAAAGCTTCACCCAATTTCAACATTTCTTCTTGAATCTGAAATCTATTATTAAAACTAGAACCATAAACTTAAAAATATTTCTACTCCAAAAAACAGTAATCCAAATTTGGTATCAACACTAAAGGAATATTGAAGGAAAACAATTACTGTCCAACTAGTGCAAAGAATACATCAGTGAGTAAATAAACTCCCTGAATACCGAACCCTTGGATTAACCTTATTCATGAAGATGATGAAGAAAACTTCTATCCCACTCTTAGAAATTTTATACTCGAACACAAATATAATGTCAGTTGCTTCAAAACCTAAGAGACTTCCATAAAACAAGTTTAAATTCTAAGCCATCAAGTAAGAATTTTCAAAGGAGTCCCTTATTTATCTTGATACCTCCAGAAACACCCAAGCAACCTGAGGAGCCCTTCAAATAGTATAAAAACTTGTAGATTAAAAAACAAATGTTGATACATATTTAACAAGGAAAAAGTTACAACTGAAAAAAATTATAAAATTTAGATAATATTTTGAGGAAGTCCTGTTAATTACTGGCAGTTTAGTCTAGAAGATCTGTTCTACAGCAGTATTCAAACTTTAAGGTTATATATCTATACACAGAAAGTGCTATCAGTATGGTTCCCCAAAGTAGTAGATGAGAATCACACCAGGGTACCTGTAAACCTACTGATTCCTGGAGCCCATCTAGATCTTCAGTCAGGTTTGGGGCCCACTGCAATAACCAACAAAGTTACTTAGTGTCATGTTACAGAAAACATGGCACTCAGCCATCTAACAAAAGATAATAAACCAGTGAGAAGAGCACTGTTTAAGAGAAGAAAAATCCAGATCCTGATGCAGCCTCTCCACTAACAAGGAAGGGATCTTAGGAAGTCACAACTACTGTGAGTGGTTTCTCATCTTTAAAAAAGAGGGAGCTTAAACAGGCAACAACCCAAATCTGTTACTCTACATTTTTGCTACCAAAAAACTGGGTAAATATTGTAAAAAGGAAAATCATTCTTAAAAAAAAAAGCTAGTGTTTAAGGAGGTATCACACAACATTTTTAGCATCCTTTTTTTTTTAATTCACCAAGAAAAATATTTGTGCACGTGGATGGCTTAGAAAGGATTATTAAAGGAAAGCTAAAATTTCTATTTGTTACCAACATACAATATGAAAGCTACAGCTGTTTGAATTTCCAACAAAATACTGTAGTCTAAAAAGTCACGGTTCAAAGAAGGAATGAGTGAGTTTATTACTCTGAGTTATAGTTATGCAGCATTCTTTATTTTCACATCCGTGACAATAACTAGCCCCTCCCTAGCTGATAATACCATACTCCTAGAGAGGAGATATATATATATTAAGTCATAGAAGGAAAGGGTAGTATGTTATTAGTTTCTAGGGCTAAAGACAGATAAAACAAGCACCAACCCCTTCTATCTTTCTAAGGAAAGCTGTGTGAAAATGGGAAATAAATTAGCAGAGTAAGAAACATTCTTCAGTTTCTTAATAAATGTTGCAGCTTGATAAAACTTACAACAGATTTACATAAAAGAAAGGGCCTAAACAGGAAGTTTTTCAACTAAATTATAGCATGACTCCATTACTTCAGGTAATTGTCAAAACTCTGAAATCTGTGCTTCAAGGATCTTTTCATTGTAAAGGTTAAAGGGATTACTTTAGAGAGTCTGTTTCCTTCACAGTTAAGCCAATGGCATTTTACAATAAAATGCACAGGCAAGAATAATACTATCACCATCATCTTACATTCAGATGAGAGCCAAGGCATTGATGAGTTCTTGAAATATTATGAAAAATTTTATACATATGCATATTTTACGAATGACAAGGGACAACCTTTTTTATCAGATTCTCAAAGGCATCTGTGACCTAAAAAGTTGCAGAGATCTCTCTGCAAAGCAACATCACACACTTCATGTAATTTAATATCACAATTCTGATTTTTTCATAAAGGTCTTTTTTATAGACTACACCATACATTCTAAAAAAGATGATATTTGCCTCTAAGGATAAAAAATTAGTTTTGAGGGTGTAGAAAAATCTTAGGTATCATAGTAGTTTGTGGCCTTTGTAGTACTCAGAGAGATATATTGTATACCTGCAGTATTAACATTTAATGGGAGTGGGGGTGGGTAAAAAGAAAACAAAATGTGTCCAAATAGGCTCCTTAGAGGGGTAATAATGAAAGAACAGCTGAGAAATCCTGGTCTACACTAAGAGAACACAGAGCAATAGAGTAATAACTACACTAGTGAGTTACAGTGTAGAATAACATGCAAGGTGTGATTACCAGTCACAGAAGCAGAGCACAGCCTGCTTTTCTTTGCTTCTCACACAGCAAACTACTCTACATAAAACGGACTCTGAAAATAAGTTAATGAACAAACCACGTATATGTTGAATAAGCCTCTGAAACTTGAACATTTCTACTCTTATTACCTTACTGATCCACAACACTGTAAGGCATATTTAATAACCACAAAAAATTATGCAGTAATGAAAGACCCCAACTTTGAACAATTAAAATACTTACTTTCTTCCTGCATCCGAGCTAGAATCTGCACATCAGTTACATCATTTAGCTTATAATTGGATCCAATTGAATCTTCATCTAATTCTGAAGCACTTAACTCACTGTCTATAGAGGATTGAGGACTGAGTGGAGGATTTCTATCTGATGAACTTTTCAAATTACCTTAAAAAAAGAAAAGATTCAAACTTTGGTGAAAAAAAAATTGAATAAACATCTGCTGCAATTAACTTGATATTATGTCTTTGGATTCAGTTCATTGTTATTGCCTTTTCTGTTTATAAAATTTCCAAACATTGAAATTAAAAACTGACCTGATTAAGAATAAAGAGGGCTATAGAGACACCTTCATATACAATGACAAACAAACATTTTCATATAGCTATAACTTATCTATATCCTTACAAAACAATTAAGTTTTCAACACAGTACCTGGCAAGTAGTTAATGTTCAATAATACATGCTAGAGGATTTCAACTTTTTAAAAAGTAGCCAATGAAAATGCTCTATAAACAGATGAATTTATGATGTGCTTTTTCCTCCCAAATTCACTCATTAGGAAACACCATCATCTTTTCCCTTGAATAAAAGCATCTACTTTTCCTAAACAAGAAAACTATAATTTGAGGAAAACCAGGATTCCTTAGAGATTTAGAAACAAACCAAAAGAAGGACACTAAGCTTACTTCTCCTACATTATGTCATGTTTACAAAATTCCTTTGCCAAATTGGTAATGGAAAACCAAGTAGTTCCTGAAGGTTAGTAGTGAAGGACAAAGATGGGATAAAGAACATGACTGGATAAAAAAATGCGTTTTATCACTCTAAACCAAAAGGAGATAGAAGACAGGTCAGAGGATATACATATCAAAAAGAGTTTAACTTGTTTCTAAGGAAATGTTTTCATTAGATCACATTCTAGTGAAGAATTAAGAAAATCCAAATGCTGTCATGAATATTTATTTATTCATTCATTCATTCGTTCATTTTTGGTGAGAGGAAGTAATTAGGTTTATTTATTTATTTTTAGAGAAGGTACTGGGGATTGAACCCAGGACCCTACGCATGCTAAGCATGTACTGTACCACTTGAGCTATATCCTCCCCTACTAATATTTCTAATACAGATATGAAACTCTTGTTTTTCTAAAATTCTTCACCATAAGAGTCAGCTCCAACATGAAAGGCACGTAAGAAGAGCAAGAAGAATACAAAACAGTTAGTATTTATATTATCAAGAAAAGGATAGTGCACATGATAGGATAAGTACTACAAGGTCAGTCTCAAATAGTGCCTGATTAAAATTCTTTATATTAAACAACCATGGCAGGTCAAACTTTTTAGTATGACTGTATGGGTGAAATAAGTGGTAAGTAACAACCTATGTACAGAGCTAACAGCAGGATCAACAAAGTGATTAGACTAGGGAGTACACAGGTCTAAAGTTTGATGTAGTTAACAATTTTTAAGGAAGCTATAATAATCATAGCAATAGCAGCAATCAGAATAACTGATGGGTGAGTTCTCAAGAACAGTGAACTACAGAGTAATAACCTTAGTTACAGAACTAAACCTGTGAAAAGTTGAAACACTATTCTCCCAATTTAGAGCACTCTATCCCTCCTGTATTATTCAGGGCTCGAAACACTCTCTTGGCACATTCATACACAGCCATATACTATCATTTAAGCGCAATATCAAAGCTTATTAAAATTTCTATTTAAAAAGTTTTGGCCCTATAGTTTTTATAACCCAAGCAAGCTACTCAATAAGCATTCACTGGTTAAGAGAATTAAGCTTGTGACCTATTTAATCAAGCCAGATTTAAAAACTTTCACATACATGCTGAAGAAAACTTTACGGATGTAACCTGGCTTATCTGTATCCCTGGTGCTTAATACAATACTACTTGCTGCTTGCTAAGTAGTTCCTCAATGGTACTTTCTCCAACTAGTTAGAGGTTTCAAAATTAGACTTAAACTACTGATGAGTAAGTTATTTTCTGAGGCAGGGCAGTAAATTAAAAAGCATTTATTTATTTTTTTGAATTATAGTCAGTTACAATGTATCAATTTCTGGTGTACAGTACAACATCCCAGTCATGCATATACATACATATATTCATTTTCATATTTTGTCATTAAAGGTTCTTACAAGACATTTAATATAGTTTCCTGCACTATACAGAAGAAATTTTTTAAAATCTATTTTTACATATAGTGGCTAACATTTGCAAATCTCAAACTCCCAAATTTATTCCTTCTAACCCCATTTCCCCCAGTAACCATAAGATTGTTTAATATGTCTCCGAGTCTGTTTCTGTTTTGCAGATGAGTTCATTAGAGTTCTTTTTTCTTTTTTTAGATTCCACATATAAGTGATACCATACGGTATTTTTCCTTCTCTTTCTGGCTTACTTCACTTAGAATGATGGTCTCTAGGTCCATCACTGATGCTACAAATGACATTATTTTATTCTTTTTTATGGCTGAGCAGTGTTCCATTATATAAATATATCAGAATTTCTTTATCCAGTCATCTGTTGGTGGACATTAGGTTGCTTCCATGTCTTGGCTATTGTGTATAGTGTTGCTATGAAAACTGGAGTGCATGTACCAAACAAGCATTTCTTAAGTACACCATTTCATTGTCTCCTTACCTGAATTTCCAGGAAGTATTAGCTGTTTGACTATAGGAGGTCGCACTGGGGTTGAGGATGGAGAATTAAAACCACTGCTGTATGGGCTACTGGCATTTGGACTGTAAGGACTTGTGTAACTCACGGAGTTGAAAGGATTATTATATAAATTCTGCCTCTTGAGAGCTGCATTAATGACAAGGGGGAAAATCAAATTTAAGAAACTAACGTTTCAAAATTTTTCCTAACATTTCAAAAACTTTTCCTATTAGAAAGTTCATTAAATCATTATCTGTCTCAATTTAAATACAGAAACATTTCTATAGTAGTGGGGGAAAATATATCACAATAATCCCAAATATTTCTATTATCTTAAATTTTGTTATGCAAATAAAACAGCAGCCACACCAGATAAAAATAACACCATAGGAAGAATATCTCCTCAATAAATTATTAGCCACTAAATTAAGTTACTTGTGTCTTGTTGGAAAGTTTATTCCAATTGTGTCAACCTTGAATAGCCTTTAAAAATAAAATAAATATAAAAGCATATTTATGTTTTCTCATTTTTTATAACAAATACATATTGCTAACAACAACAACAACAAACTATGAAATAATAAGCTTTAAAAATAGCCTTTCCAAAGTTTGGATTTTTGAAAAAAAATAAAGCAATATTGACTATTTAGGCCAGGTTAAGATCAAACATACGAGAACTCTCTTTTTAAGAAAAAAAAAAAGCCTTTTCTCCCCAGTTTTCTGGGCCAAGGAGAATACTTTTGCCAAAAAAAGGAAAAAAATTTGCACTATGCATATAAAATCATAAAAATAGTACAAAAGTAAAGCCAAGATATCAAATGCAATTATATACAGAAAATTTTGATACTTAAAAATATTTTTTTCTTCCACCCTATTCCAAAATTCAAAGCTTATTCAGTATTTATGACCATGAACAAAATACTATGTAGAATAAATACACAAATGTGACATGGTGCCTTTTCTCCAGAGGCTTACAGCCAAGTAGAATAGGCAAAAAAATGACGATTTCAAGGCAAAACAAAATGAATACTATCATAAAGGTGCAAAGGGGTTGTGGAAATGATGAGACAGAAGTAATTCATAAGAACTGAGAGAAACTAGGTAAGGCTTTTTGGAAGGAGAGGCACTGGTGCAGTCTTGAGAGGATGAGGAATAATTTGTTAGCCCACTGAAAGTGGAAAAAGTATGTATTTTCATATGTGTTTATAACACAAACAAAAGCAGTATTTTGAAGACACATAGTATGTCCAGGAAATAAGAGTGAGTAATCAAGAAAGGTAAAGCACATGGTGAGGGAATCAGGGAAAACTAACTGGGGCCAGGTCACAGGAAGACTGGAACACTACATGCTCAGGAGCCTTAAGCTTTGTTCAGTAGTAATGATACAACCACCAGGGACTTTTGAGCAAGAGTGATAATGATCCAGTCAGCTGGGGGGGGGGGGGGCGGGGACTGATGGAAATTCTGATGTTAAATAGATCAAACTGAACTAGGCAAAAAAAAGTAACAAAAAAGAATAAGGAGGAGAGGGAGGGGGAGGGGGAAAAGGAGGAGGAGGAGGAAGAGGGAGAAGAAGAAGAAAAGGATAGACACTAAAAATGAAAGGACTACTAAGGGGAAAAAAACAAGATGGTTCTGAAGTTTCTGGTTTGCCTCCAGGCAGAGCGCTGGCTTGGGGAGGAGAAAGGCAGATTTTCTGTTTAGCTAGATAGTGCAGGAATATGTATAGTTTTATACATATTCACCATGAGACAAGACACCATTAAACATACCATGCAGTATGTAGCATGATCTCAGATATATCAACCTGAGCAGAAACGGGGATGTTCAGTCCTTCCTATCTCTTTACTCTGATCTCCTTTGAAGCATAGTCTCTATTTGGTTATTAATTTAATCATTAGCACTTCAAGTCCTCAACCCTTTTATCTTCTCACTCTAACCATATTCTTTTTCCTGAGAAATCTCATTCATATCCACATTAGCTACTATCTATATTCCCCCAAATCCCTGTTACTTTTATCTACAGGTCTAAGTTTTCCTGAGCTTCAGTTCCATATAAGCTGCCCATTTAATGTCTCCCCTGAGGGTATGGCAAATGCACCCAGAGCCAACAAATCCAAACTCATGATTTTCCTGCTAAAACAAATTCTCTTTCTGGGGTCTCCATCTCAGAATGACAACAACATTCATCCTATCACACAAGTCAAAATCTAGGAATCACTGCTGCTTCTTTCTTCTCCCTCATTCCCTCATATTTGGTTCACTCCCTTTTCCTTTCACATCTTCTCATCTCCACTATGACCCTTATCCCCCAACACACAGCCTAACTATCATCATCAATCCCTCTCGAAAGCATCCTGCATTCACTTTTGGCCCTCTCCAATCTACAGCTATGCATAAAACCTTATCAAAATGCAAATCCTATCATTTCTTCCTGCCTCCACACACTATCCCTAGAATAAAACCCTTCAATATCTTCCCAATGCTTTTAGAACAAAGTCCAAGACCTTTAACATGGTCTCTAAGGACTTGCAGAGTCCGGCTCCTACATACCTTTCGGCCTTATCTCCTCTCTCTCCTTCCCTAATCTCCAGCCACCCTGGCTTGTTCCAGTTCCTCATGTGTGCCAGGCTCCTTCTCACATGCTCCCACAGAGCCTCTGCACATGCTGTTCTCTCCACCTGAAATACTCTATTCCCTCCTTCACCTTGCCCTTTAGCCCACTTAAATTTCCCTGAATCTTTATGACTCAGCCCAAACATTACTCCCTGAGGCAAAATTCCTATTTCTCCAAGCTCAAAGCACTGTATACCATTCTTTTATTACATATCACCAGTTATAAAAATTATTTGTACTAATGTTTTCCCTACTAGATGATAAACTCCATGAGTGAAGGTACAATGTCAGTCTTTCTTCATCATGTATCAGCGACCCTTTCCCCAATTCTTGAAGCATAACAGGCTCTTATTAAATATTAACTGAATAAATGCATGAAGGAGATTCGTTTGAACAGAGATGGACATCATATGAATGGATGAAATCAATAAAACATAGAGAAACAGGGCAAAAGAGACCTGGTTAGGTGGGGGACAGGAGGAATGGGAAGTTTAATGAGTACAGAATTTTAGTACATGGAATGGCAAACAAGTTCTGGAGATAGACAGTGGGGATGCCAATGCAAATGTATCTAATGTGCCACCAAACTGTATATTTTTAAATGGTTAAAGTGGGAAATTTTATGTTATATAAATCCTACCACCAAAAAAAAAGAAAAAAAGGGCAGAGAAGGGAGAACTTTGAAAGAGTGAAAAGAAAACCACAGTGAGAGTAAGGCAGGGTAAAAAAGATAATGCACTATCATAATAAAACAAGAGAAGAACATCTTAGGAACACATGGCAGGACACTGCAGAGAAGCTGAATGTGATGGAGCAGAATGGTTCTGCTAGAATACAAAAGCTAAGTTCCTAGGAAGCTTTGCCTTATCATAAAATACATTTGAAAAACAAACTGGGGATGGTGTTGGGGCTGGGTAGAGCACATGCTTAGCATGCACAAGGTCCTGGGTTCAATCCCCAGTACCTCCATTTAAAAAACAAAACAAAGCAAAAAACAACAATCTCTCCTCCAATATGGGAAAAAGGAAATTTAGGACTACAAAGTTCAAACTTGTAATAGCCAAATTATTTTTTTTCTTTAAATATATTACATTTACAATTATAACTATCGCTCTGTGCATACAGCTGTAAAATCAAAACATTGTTAAGCAGATCCAATACTTAATTATACCTAGTTTTGGTTCAAGAGTAATAGCTTCTCTTAACACACTCTTACTATCTTCAATACCTTTGTTATAATAAAGCAAAAAGCTACTCACTCCAGTTGCTATTTCTGAAGTGCAACAGCTTTGGTTTTCTCAGCTATGCCCATCCCATGTATTATATTCTTATAATAATCATTCTCCTTATAGCCAAAGGAACTATACTTTAACTATAAACTACAGCCAGTTTAACTGTGCAGGCTCCCCCTGACTCTCCTGACCATTTACAGCTTACTCTCTAACAAGAGAGCACGTATTTCAATAATAAAGCCAAAAGAAACAATTATAAGCATATAGCTGCCAAGTAAACACAGAGCAAAAAATAAAACAAAACAAAAAACCTATTTAGGATTACAAATCATGCATTAATGTTTTACTACATGACTATTCTAGGAAACTGATATTCTTAAAACATTGAGAGTAATTCCAAGAAAGAGTCAACATTTTTTCTACATTTCTAACACACTAGCATGCTACATTCAATGCCATAAATAGTGACATATACATTATGTCAGGTTTGTGAATGCTATTAAACAGAGCACAAAAGCAATTTAAATCTAAAATGCCAAGTTAAAAAAAAAAAAAACCAACAAAGACAACGAGAAGGGGAAATGAATACATTTACTAAGCACTGCATGAGCCAGAAAAACATGCTAGGCTCTTTCATAAACATTATCGTTTAATCCTTAAAATAACCTTACAGTGCTCATTCGCATGAGAAAACTAAGCTCACAGGAGTTAAATAATTTGCAGAGTGTCTCACAGCAACCAAGTGATATAGTGAGAATGAGGTCTTTTTGTTTCTCAACCTGTATCCTTCTACCACATCAAAATTTCCCTGGGGCTGGTGAGATGATTTTAGATGATACTATAGAAAACTTTTTTTAATAGTTATTTGTTTTAGCTTGCATTAGCAAAAAAGTTATCACATAAACACCTATTATTTCATGGATATTATTTTTGAGGATGAAGCTAAATAAAAATAAAGAACTGGGGGAAAAAAGCTATTAATAGTAGAATAGGGTTATGTCTATAGGGCAAAAACTGATGATGACACGCACAACATGATTTGAAAAACACTACCAAGCAAAGAGCTGCCTTCCTAAAGACATAACACTCAATATTTATGTTTTTTTTTTGATTAAAGAAAGTAAAAAGATAAATTTTACAAGTAAAATTATAGACATACCTGACATAGTTTGATCAAGTTTGTGGATAAGAGACTTTTTAGCACATTCAACATCAGGACTTGGGTAATCCAAAACTTGCCTGCACCAAACTAATGGACTAACTGATTTCTGCATTGGTGTAAGTTTTTTCTTTGGTGATGAATACAGCCTAGAAGAAAACAAAAACAAAAAGGTAGCATTAATTATCAAACACAAGGTTATAAGACAGGGATCCTGTTGAACAGATACAAATTGGGAGGTGGGGAGTAAAAATGATGGAGTATATTTAAAATCACACACATTTACTTTTTGCACAACAAGAAAATGATACTATAATCATCAATATAAATCCAAATCTCAACTATTAAATGAACCCAAATGAGACCAACTGTCCAGTCCTAAAATGTCTTATTTTTCTCTTTTACTCTCTTCCAAAAACTATGATAAAACATGTCTTTAAAATAGTTTATTCTGTTTTCAATAGATCTTGATTAACTCCCCAATATAACCATATCAAGTCTCATCTAGGAAGCAGAATGCAGACAATAAATACCTTGCTTTCCAACTCCCCAGTTCCCTTCCTACCACAAACCACACAAAAATATACCATTAGTAATTAATCCCTTTTAGTTAATCAGTACTCACTCTGCAGCCCTTTTCAAATAATATGTCAGAGAAAAGCAGTACTTTAAAAAATCCTGAATAACAACATGAATCAATTTACTAAATTACTTCAGTCTGAGTAAAAAATAAAGGAAAAGTATTTTATAAGCTCCTAGGGAAGGTACATAAAAACAAAAAGGTAAAAAGATAGGAGAGAGGTATACTTAAATTTCTTACTTCATTTGTTTTTCCTCACATTAGTTCAGATTATATCAATCGATATTAACTTATTTCAAATGTGACTCCCCATGAAAAATGTGAAGTCACTTGAATTCTAATCAGAGTAGTTTTCAAATTAAGACACTTTGAGGGAATTCTATGAAGCAGACCAAAGTTTGCTTTGATATATTTACATAGTTAATTGTCTCAATAAGGCAAGGAGTTAATTACTTCACACTTTATGTTAATCAAGTTAGGGCAATAAAATGAAGTATGTTTCGGTGTATATTTAAATATATCTCTATAGTACTGGAATTGATAAAACTACTTTCTAGTGGAAATATGTACATTTTCCATCCATTCTCTCATCTCCCCTATCTATAACTTAGGTCTGTCACTCACATAGATTAGCTCTGATCATATAATCAAGAAAGACTAATAAGGTAAACAATCATTTCTCTAGTCCACAATCTATATTCATTTGGAAAAAGTAATGAAGTATCTTATTAACAATTCAAAATAAAAATGAAACCAACATAGTTCATACTCTTTCTAGCTTAAATAGCACAAATGTTCCATAACAAATTTCTACCTCAGCACCCACACTTTAATTGTGATAACTATCATATACTGATATTCTGTTAGTAAATATTTAGCAAACAAAACCTCTATAGATGAATAACAAACAATAAGATGACTTTATGATATTATCACCACTCTTTCAATATGTAACTCTTCTCTACACTGACTGGTTTCAGACAATTTGCCCATACGACTCACATGTACCTACTATGTTCCTCCCCAGACACACAAAAAAAACACACATTGCATGATTCATCTACATGAAAAGGATACGAAGCAAAAGTAGATCAACAAATCCTACATTTACTTCCCTTACTGTCAAAAGACAATGTTCTTTCCTTCCATTAACAGATAGAAGGTAAAGTAGCAAACTGTCCATTCCTAGAATGATGAAAAGGGGGAAACTGATTTCATAACCCTTGCATGTGCCAACTATCTTCTATTACTCCATTCTCTTATTTCAGTGCCCCATCACTAAAAATGATCACTAAAAATGATCACTAAAAATGGAGGGCTCTGGCCCATATGATATTTGCAGCAAACTACTCATCAGTCAGGGATTCTTTGGTTGACATTTTACAAGACTTCTAAATCTGCCAGAGAATACATGACCTGGACTGTAGCATGTAAGTAGATGCTCCTTTAGCAAAACCAAGGTGATTTCAGCCCCTGAATTAAAAAAAAAAAAAACCCTCAAAAGAATCCCAAACAAAAATAGTTGCAATAACCGTGCATATTATCTCCTTTGCTCATCTCTTACAAACACATAGACTTCTTCAAAATAACTATTTGCCTACACAGTTTTTCACTGACACTTTTGAATTTCTTAAATAATTTATGGTTTAATCAAGAGAGACTTAGTTCTGATGGAAACAGCCAGTTTAGTAACTTAAAAACAGGTTGAGATTGTCAAGTTTTTACTTGTCAAGAAAATTTTAGCAGAAATAGGGTAATATGTTTCCAGTTAAGTCATAGAGGCCCACTGGAGGAACAGAACCTCCACCTCTACACCAAGCACCAACACGACAGAAGGAGGCAATGGGAAATGGAGCACCTTCTCTCCCTTTTCCCCACTCTCCCTGGGTCAGTAGGGCCCAACAGGGAGCTGATTTTTGCACCCCATCCATTTGAAAGGAAGCGGTGTGAGCCAGTGCTCCACTTTTGCCAAGGTGGTGTCAGCAGGGCCTGGCAGGGAGCCGAACATCCACTCCTATTCAGGTCCATGCACTACACCTTAACAAGGTGATTAACTGAAAAAAGAAGAAATGATTTATGAGTCTCACAAACATAATACCTATAATGTCCAGGATACGAACGGAAATCATCATACCAAGAATACAGTTAAAGGAGGGGTAAAGAACAGAAACAATTGAGTCACACTGAAAACAAACAGCAAAATGGCAGACATAAACCCAACCATACCAATAATTACATTAAATGTTAATAGACTGAGGGCCCTAACTCAAAAGACAGAGATGGTCAGACTCAATGGAAAAAAAAAAAAAGACCAAATGTATATCGTCTACAAAAGAAACAACTTAGATCCAAAGTCACAAACAGGTTGAAAGTAAAAGAATGGGAAAATAGGAACCGTAAGAGAGCTAAAGTTTATGAAATATTACTACTACAGAAGAGAGATATACCATATCATTAGGAAGATATAACAATTAAACATTTAGTATCGGTAATAGAATTCAAAGGAAAAAATACAGAAATTTTGGAGTTTTTTCAACAGCTCCTCATGAATAACTAAAAAAAGAACTACAGGGAAAATCAGTAAGGATATAGAAGACTTGAACAACATTATCAACATTAGTTAACTGACATTCATGGGATGATCCACCCAAAAACAACAGAATACATTCTTAAGTGCACATAGAACATTCTCCAGGATAGTCCATCAACTAGACCATTAAAAAATCTTTTTGAATTTAAAAAAATTGAAAATCTTCAAAGTCTGTTCTCTGACCACAGTGGAGTTAAATTAGAAATCAACAACAAAAAGGAATTAAGTAAATCTCAAATATCTGGAAATTAAATAACATACTTATGAATAACCACAGGTCAAAGAATACATCACAAGAAAACATCCTGAACTAGAGAAAAACAAAAATATAGCATAGTACTGGTAACTATGTGATGAAGCTAATGAAGAACTTTGGGGAAATTTTATAATTTTAACCTCCTATCAGTAAAGAAATCTCAATCAACAGTCTAAGCATTAATTAAAAAAAAAAAAAAAGAAGAGCAAATTAAACCCAAGGAAGTCAGAAGGAAGGAAATGAAAAATATTGGTAGAAATCAATGAAATTAAAAAAGAGAAAGAGAAAAACGAAACTAAAGTTGGTTCTTTGAAAAGATTAAAAAAAAAAAAGAATGTAAATCTTTAGTCAGATTTACCTAGAAAAAGAACACATGAATTACCAAAACCAGAAAGAAAGGGTGAGTGTTGCTATAAACACTACCAATATTAAAAGAATTGTAAGGGAATATTATCAACAACTTTATCCCAACAGATAGGATAGACAAATTCCTAGAAAGATACAAGTTATCAAGTGAGACTCTAGAAGAAAAGAGCCTCTGAAGAGATTTATTTAAAAAAAAATTGAATTAGTAATTAGAAATCTTCCTGCAAAGGAGAGCCCAGGTGAAGATGCCTTTGCTTATTAATTTTATCAGTACTAAGGAAAAATAATGCCAATCTTACAAACTCCTTCAGAAAAATAGATCTAATGATGAAAGACTGAATGCTTCTCCTAAGACTGGGCACAGCGTTAAGGGATGTACACTCTCACCACTTCTATGCCATGCAGTAGTGGAGTGTCCAGCCAGTACAACGCCAGCACAATAAGGCAAGAAAAATGTATTAAAGGCATCCATATTAGAAAGAAAGAAGTAAAATTGTCTTTATTCACAGACAATGACCCTGTACATAGGAAATCCTCTGTAGGAATCTATCAAAAATCAACTAGACTTAAGTGCAAGGTCACAGGATATAAAATCAACATGCCAAAAAAAAAAAAAACCAACTGTGTTTCTATATATTATCAATGAACAATTCAAATATGAAATAAATATAACAATTCCATTCACAATAGCATCAATTTAGGAATAAATTTAATAAATGAGGTACAAGATAACAAATTAAATACAAGATTTGTATATTGAAAATGATGAAACATCGCTGAGAGAAATTAAAGGAGATTTAAATAAATGGAGAGAGATAACTTGCTCATAGATTTCAAGACTTGATATTGTTAAAATGTCAATTCTTTCAAGTTGATCAACATAATTAATACAATCCCTAAGAAATCTCAGAAGGCATTTTTATAGAAACTGACAATTTGATTCTAAAAGTTAAATGAAAATGTAAAGATAAAAAATTGCCAAAACAATTTTGAAAAAAAATCTTTTGTTTTTAAATTTCAAAATCTCTGATCTTGCTCCCTTCCAAACCATTCTATATACTGCAGCCAATTTGTTTTCTAAAATATGTTATCTATTAACAATATTCCTCTGCTAAAAATTATATGCCAGTTGCCTTTTGCCCTTAGGATGGTCTTTTCCAAAACACAGCCCCCACGGCCCTTAAGACACAGCAATGATCTAACTGTTACAGTACTTTTTTTTTAAGCTACATTTCTCACCCTCCTTCACCACTCAAATCTAAATAACAGCCATATGGTACTAATTTCTATTCCTGGAAACCCAGCACTTCTGCTTCTAGGTCATTTGTGCATGCTGCCCACCTTGCCTTAAACAAAT